TGGATTTGTTCTCGGTCGTCCGTTGTTATAATCCTCTGCTGCGTCCTGCCTATTGTGTTTTCTAATCCTGTCATGTTCTATTTTCGTAATTTGTTTTATATTATTTGAGTTTGTAAACTACCTGGTAGGAAAAGTGTGTTTACTCTCTGATAAACAAACCTTAAACAAATGTACATAAAATAAATCATATTGTAACGCTATAACTCTCAGTTAAATCTCGGCGTTAAGAGAACAACACATCTTTAATCTGGACACAAAACCACTCTCTTAATCATTACTTCGCACATGTTATCACCCCATATGTCACGTGACTTACCTACATACAGGGGTACCCTAAGGATTCGCCCAGCGCTACACTACTCCACCCCTTCTTTAAAAGCACTGTCCCAGTGCTGGTCCACTATTTCACGAATCGTTTCCGAAAACAACTTCAATTAAACACAACAAACCAAGTCTCCAACGTTTGTTCATCAACGTGCCAAGCGTCTATGAAAGGCGTTAACTTGCCTAGACTGTCCTATAATGCTTATCAGTCCCTGAACACTTCAGATTAATCAGTCACCTAAGTTCCGTCGACTTGGTGGCTTTCGCTGTCTTGATGGTCTCCCAGAACCACTGGAATCAATCCCAGGTAAACCTTATACAGTCGACTCAGTTGTGGTTATCTCCCTCTCTCACGTTAACCGGAGCTGACTGTCCCTCGTCGACAAAGTTTGAAGAATCCATAACCGATGTCTCTCTCCCCTCTTTTCGAGCGCTCGATAACCGCGTCTGCCTTTTTGGAATCCATCTCTCCATTGGGGGTCCTAGGTAAGGCTTTAATCTGTCTGAATGAACGACCTTTGGCGCGGCCTTTCGGCTCTTTTGAAAACGGTACACCACATCCGATAGCACCGATGTTACAAGATAAGGTCCTTCCCATGGACAGTCAAGTTTGGCGTTTCTCCCCTACTTCCTCCGAAAATTATGCAGCCAAACAGAATCACCAATAACAAATGGTCTACCGGAAAGCCGTTCGTCATAGTTCCGCTTCTGCCGTACAGCTGCCTTGTTCAAATGACGCCGGGCTAAATCATGCGCACTAGCCAATCTCTTTTGAACAACCTGTGCATAGTCCGTCCGGAGTGATGATGCATCTGATTGTCTCTCAGTTATGACATCCAGGGGAACCTTCAGATCCCTACCCAACAGTTGTAGATCCCAGTCTGTCTGGTCCTGCTGGATCTTCCCACGTAACATTTCAATGAGGGTCCTGTTGAAACGCTCTACCTGTCCGTCAGACTGGGGATGCAGTGGAGTGGTGCAAGTCTTCTCAATGTCGAACAGCCTGCAGACTTCAGCAAACACCTTTGATTCGAAGTTAGTTCCTTGGTCGCTATGAAGTTGACGAGGTACACCGAAACGACAAATGAACTTGCTCACAAGCCAAGAATGTCAATCGCGATTCGTTCCATGGGAGCTCCCACCACGTACTGCTTTAACGGAGCACGACGTTTCCGTCCCCAGGTTTTCTTAGACCCACAGACATGGCACCTAGCGACCAATCTGTGAACTGCTAAAGAAAGTCCTGGTAAGTAATAGCGAGATTGAAGAGCAGATAGGGTCTTCCGTACACCACGATGACTTACAGTCGTAAGATTATGATGAGCTTCAAAAGCAGTCTGTCGAACACGAGATCCTGCTGGAAAGCCCGGCAAATATAGGCCTCGTAATTTTTCATTAACATGTGACCGTTCCATGGGTGTACCAGGACATGTCATTTCCTGCTTTGAAGATTGCTGAGAGAGCGCATTGCTCACATCCGTACCAGTTTTGGGGCCAACATCACTCGCATTTAGGCGTCCCCCCGGACCCGTGGGAGACACCCTGCTGGCGTTTCCCGAGCCCGGGTTACCAACTTCAAGTGACTTGTACTTTGGTCAGTTACGAAGATAGTGGCCAAGTTCTTTGCAATTCCAGCATTGACCATTGTGGTTGAAGTAACCTGGTGGTCGCTGCTGGCTACCAGAAGTGCTCAAAGAGAGTGACTTGGAGAGCTGCTGTATCTGCTCAACTAACCGTTGCATGGCAACTTGCTGAGTCTCCTGACGTTGTTGTTGCACTCGAATGTCAGAACGTAACATATCCAGCTGAGCTTGAAACAAATCAGGCTCTTTATCAGCTTCATCCACAGAGCGAACCTAAAGAGAGCTTCTCCGCTCATCTCCATCCACGAGACGGAACGCCTCGAGTTCATAAGCCAGCGACAGGAGGTGCGTGGTTGCAAACGAGCGAAACTACGATAGCAAACACACGAAGAGACTTTGGATGCAAAAGGAAGGAGAACGATGAAATTCAGCCACACAAACCATGAAAATATCGCCATTGAACACAGTTATGCGTGAAGTTCGTCTTTGTTTACCGCTGCAACCAGTGTAACGCCACAACTGCCAGTTAAAACTCGGCGTCAAGAGAATAAACGCATCTTTAATCTGCACGCAAAACCAGTCTCTGAATCATTACTTCGGACATGGTTATTACCCCATATGTCACATGACTTACTTACAGGGGTACCCCCGGGATTCGCCTAGCGCTACAATATATAAAGAACAACCTTCACATTTATTTATCAAAAGCTTCCTTTTCTTTCTGATGCTATGAACCAAGTCGCAAAATTTTGTAAATTCGCACCCGCGATAATTCTCTGTTTACAAAGACCTTTTGTAAGCAAAAATACTGTCTCTGCATCATGGGCTTTTTATGTTTTGATATAAAAACCGAATAGCCCCAAATTCTTTTCGACTTGGATTTAGCTCAGTACAGTCAACACTCGCCTTAGGGACGCCACAATAATACGGATAGCATCTGAATCACCGGCAAAAATAAATTATAGAAGTTGGCATGAAGTAGAATCCCGCTATTACAGACTCTCGGTAATGAAGGAAACTAAGTTCGATTGAGTTCGATAAGCTCGGTTGAGTTCGATTGAAGGTATTCCGGAATAAAAATAAATGGAATGAACTCTAGAAAACACGTATTTCTCTGCATAAAGATTTGTATCAGAACTTTTGCGTACTCTTCTTCGATCAATCTAACTCAACCTCCAAAAAGGGAATTGACTGTAAAAAAAGCGCCCAGCTGATGTTAAGGTTGATTTTCACTGACGTGTTTTGGGCTACGCGCGTTAACGCGCGTAAAGTTTAATCGCGTAAATAAAATAGAGGCAATATAAAAACTGCTGAGCTTAAACGAGAAGTTGGGCGAGGTTCAACTTTTACGCTTACGAGCGACCTTTCATGCATTGCCTCTATTTTAGTTGCAAAGGTAAATTTTACGCGCGTACGCAACTAAAAATTACGCGACATTGGAAATCAACCCTTATGGAGATTAGATTCTTTTCTTCTTGTTATGCATTTGTAAAATGACATAACAGCAGAACCCCGGTAACTCAAACTCTGAAGGGAAACGAAAAACAGTTCGAATTAGCGGGGAATTCCAGTTATCGGGGTAAATTTTAGTGAAATTCTGATCAAGGGAAGGGAAATTTAGTTCGAATTAGAGGGGAATTCGAGTTATCCGAGTTCGTGTTATCGGTCGAGGTTCCACTGTATTATACATATACTTTATATACGTATACTCTCCTGTGTTGGGAATTAGAACAGTAAATTGTTCCCTGGGTGCTTAGTGAAACAATTATATATCTAGCTAGCGGTCAAAACTGCCTTATTTTTTACTTTATTTTCAGATATATCATCTTCTTTGAAATTCTTACCATCTTACCTTTGGTGCTTTTCAAGTGGGAGACGTAAATTGGCCAAACCTAGTTAGAACTTTTAAATGTTGTACACTTAAACTTAACCCTTGAACTTTCATCGATGGAGTTTCTTTTATCTAGATATGAATTTTTTTTATAATTATAAGTGTAAGTGAAGACTTTCTAAGCGACCAACTCGCTAAAAAGGCTTTTCGAGTATTATATAAAATGTACTTTGATGTATTTTTGTTAGAAGTTCAATTATTTCAAGCAAATTAAAATTGATGTTACAAAAATGAAACACCAAGAAAATAAGATTGACTTGACCCTTTCTCTCTCATTATTTTTTTGGAAAGAAATTTTAGTTTCATTAAACTCAAATGAAAGCTCAAATGAATGTTTAGTTTATTTGAATGTATCTTTTTTTCTTCAAGAAGAAAAGTAATGGGATTATGTACTTTTACTCATAATAGGCCACTTCCAAGTTTCAAAAACCCTCACTTTCAAATAAGGCTAGGTGCACAACCTTTCTTGTGAAAATGAGTTTAATTTGCATGAGAATGAAAAATGATTTCCATATCAAAGGCTGAGCACCTACCCTCGTTTTGAAACAGAGGCCCGGGGGAACTCGGAAATGGCCTATTCCTTAGTTAGTAAAAGAAAACATATACCGTCGAGCTAATTTGTTTATGTCTATTATATATATCACTGGATTTTTGAAAACCACTCTTCCCACAATTAAAAATTTTCGAAAGCCTTTAAATGACACCTAATAACACTCCCGATGAACCTGAACCAAACAGCGCGAGAATTTTACCGCAAAAGATTAACTCTTGATCAATAACGATTTCTTAAAACATAACCAAGCGAACATTAACGTTAAAAGCCGACGTTTCCTTATCATCTTGACACCATTCTCAAGGCAAAATGAATAAATAATGCGAAGATTTGATTTCTATAGTCTCTACAAATTAGCATAATAACAAAGGATCACAAGTTCTTCAAGTGAATACCTTTGCCCGAATCGAGTCCGCCTGCACGTTTAGGGATGGTTTGAGTTTTCTTATAAAGAGCATCTCCTTAATTAGGCAATCCAATTTGTTAGAACCTTTAGTGAGCACGTGAAATTGTTCTGAAAGAAAAGGTGGTATGTCCGAGTTATGTTCGCTAAGATAATGTTTACAAATTGACGACGATTTCTGTTTGTGTCCATCAACGCGTTCGTGAAGGTGGCCGCGAGTATAACCAACATATCCTGCATTGCGCAGGTTACATTGAATAGGTGCCTCAGGTACTTAAGCTTTAAGAATACAGTCTCAAGCCGATCGCATTCTTGTGAGAAGTACGACCAGTCGGAAGATATGCGGTAAGCTCGATCTAACATGGTGGTAATTAGACTGCGCTTGTACCGATTATCCACGTGGCTCTGGTAGTAGAGTAAAGGGCCCGTATTAGTTGGTTTTACGTAGACCTTGGTCTTGATTCTGGGAGCTAAGTTTAACAGTTCAACACCGATGAAAGGAAGCGAGGCATTCCGTTCAACCTCCATAGTAAACTTTGCTGATGGGTGGCAGTGGTTTAGGGTATCAAGAAAAATTTCGGCTGATACTATATCAGGCATGATGGTAAATGTGTCATCCACATATCGTCGCCAATGTCTTTATGTGCTCCATTGAAGATAAACTCGATCAAGATGGCAAATTGCCCTCCTATTATCGACGATATGTGGATGACACATTTACCATCAAATGCGGTCATCTACCCATCCGAGAAAATTTGGTAATCAGGTGACCGTACAACGACCGTCCCCCCGCCCGACTGACCGTCCCTTCGCAGCACAGGCATACCAATGTAAAATAACTCAATCAACAGGTATAGCAACCCAAATGCAACTCAAGGTTTTATTTGGAAGGAAGTCACATGGCCGCCCGGACTTTTAGAAAGAAAAAACAACAACAAAGTCGTGTATTTCTCGGCGTTATTTTTTATGTTTACACTAACGTGGATAACAGAGAAAGAACTAGAGCGAGTTATTGAAAACAAAGGAGACGAATTTCGTAGAAGGAAAACACGGAAATTAAAAGCGGCTGTGAGAAAATGAAAAATGCTAGCAGCCAGCAAGGTGAAAATGAGCGGCAGTGAAAAATACAAGCGAACATGAACACAGGAATTCAAATATTTGGTAAGCAAATACGACAATTCCTCCATAAAAAATGTGTAACTGGGAAGTTTGACGTTTAGTCGTACAAAACAGCGTTGTAGTCGTGCAAAAAGCGTGATGCACGGGTAAATTTGTTTTTTGCTAATTAGAAGAAAAAGTGTGCTGCACGCGCAATTTGTTTATTTGCTAGTTGGATCTATTAGTCTTGAAGCCATTTTCATTGTCGTCCCCGTTTAGCATTACACGATTTAATTTTCTTTGTTTACACGTATTATTAACCAGAGCTTCGCTTTTAGCCCTGGCTAAATCTATATATTATCAAACCTGATACTAGTTCAGATCATTGTCTCAAATCTTACAAAGGTGCATAAACAAGCCACATAAATTAAACTACGCTCGACATCAAATACAATAATTACTCAGGCTTACCAATTCGAGATGCAGCTCCTGAAAGCTATCAAGTAAGTACAGAATCGCTCTAGACCCTCTTACGAATGAAGTAAGGTGGAAAAAAAAAACGCTGACATCCGAAATTGGATTTTGGACTTTGACAAGCGGCACATTTCTGAACCAAAAACCTAATAAACAAACCAACCATGAATAACAGAAGACTCTTGATAACAACTGTATTTTATTTTGTACATCCAGTGGAAAAAGACAGTTAAAAACATCACAGTTGACACAAAACTCTGTCAGCTTCAGCTGTCAAAGTAAACAAGTTTCGCCTCCGAGGTCAGTTTGAAATCAAAATTTGAATGGTGCGACACATAAATACAACTTGTTTCACATGAATTATAATAAAAATAATAACTTGAGCCTGCGATCATTTGAAAACTAGTAACTTGTCAGTGGAAAACTTTGAAAAAAACTCGACCTCGATGAGTCAATACCTGGGCCCGCTATACGATCAGGTGATATTGGTCAGCGGACACCCTGTTTTGACAGCTGTCAATTAATCACAACATTTATGTGCAATATAATTGCAATATGTGCAATATCGGGTTGTTCCCGGGCTCCCAATTAGGTAGAAAGTGCGAGATTAAACATTGGTTTCCCTGGGGTGCGGACGGACGATCGACGGTCGGTGTACGGTCACGTGATTACCAAATTTTCTCGGATGGGTAGATTATCTTAGCTATGGTGCTCCGCACGCACGCGCGAAGCCGACTCCTCTAATATTTCGCATGGAGCTTGCGTTTTAAACTACTCAAAGAATCTCTGCTTTACACTTTCTCACAAACACAATGTTAAAGCAACTGCTATCAAATAATGGTAATCCAAAGACCAATAAAACTGTGTTACATGATCACTTTTAACTGTTGTATCATGACCTTTTTTAACTGTTGTACCCTCGTTACACAGATCTTCTTGACAACACTGTGTTACGTTGCATGACTTTCTACCATAAAGCGGGATAACGACGTTTTTGCAGTAGCCTGGTGTACAAACTTCGCTGGTAAAGCACTCTCTACTGAAGGATATGGAGCCATCTTGTCTTTCTTGCCAGATGGTTCCGCAAAATTTTTTTCCCTCTGAACAATGTTCTGTGGTGGTATTGCATGAACTGGTATTTAGCGACGTGTCGAAAAAACACTTGTTGCATTGAAGGACATCGACTAAAATGAATGAAAACGGTTTATTAGAAATAATAGGAACTAATATATCTGGGTAAACAAGGCTTATACGACTCATACTTATTATTCGAAAGAACGAAGAGGAACAAGAGAGCAGTCGGGATCAGGCTGCGTGACTACTTTCTGGTGCCAGCAACGCAGGCTTAGAGCAGCGTAATGATTACTGTGAAAACCAAAGTATATTAGATCTCGTCACAACTGAGGAGGAAGTCGTCTTTATAAGATCCGTTTTTGCTTAAATTGTGTCCTTTAATTAAGCTTTTGACTGTCTTTTGTTTAGTTTCTTTGTGCAAGTTTTGGTGTTTAGTTTTCTGTGTTATTCTTCGCCTCCTCGTCGACGCCTCTTTACATTTTTCATCTTCATCAGCGCCTTTTTTCTAGCCTGAGAAAACATCCGACAATTGGCGACGCTACCACTGGTTTCCCCGCCAAATGACGTCTGAGAAATGAGCACAGAAATTCCATACTGATGACGCGTCACTACCCAGATTTGGGTAGTGCTTCTGATTGGTCGTGTCGCGAGGGAAATTTGATTCAACCAATCTGAAGCACTATACCCAGATCTGGGTAGTGACGCGTCATCAGGATGGAATTTCTGCGCTCGTTTCTCAGACGTCATTTGCCGGGGAAACCAGTGGTGGTGTCGCGAAATGTCAGCTGTTTTCTCAGGTTACCTTTTTTCCAGTTTGTTTAGTTTGTTTTTCTGCTTATTCAACATATTCTACCTTAACGTACCCTTTCATCATTTTGAAAAGGGTCTTATTTTCAGTAACCATGATTCCTCTCATTGTTTTGGAACCGAGCAGGTCATTATTTGGTCACCGATAATGACCATTTGTTCCACTTAGTTGACCACAATAATTTTTAGCACAACCAAAACGGAATAGCGTTTATTGTTTCTGTCACTTAGTTTACAAAAGTTTTTGCATTTGTCAATTATAACTTACTAATTTCAAAATTTTTCTAGCTTTCTTTACTGGTAATGTTACAATTTCCACCTGAAATATTCAAATTAATTGACCCCAAAGAATTTGGAATTTGCGCAGCAACAACATTTTCTGTGGTTGTGGTTTCAATGGACCGGCCTTGCACTATTTTGGAAAGTAGTTGTTCATTTGTTTCCCGCCGCCCGGTTAGCTCAGTTGGAAGAGCGTCGGTCTGCTGACCGGGAGTACGTGAGTTCAAACCCCGGCCGGACCATCAACCAAAGTCTTTAAAAAACTGGTGAGATCATGCTAGCTGTGAAACCCCTTTCTCATTTCAGACGATCGCGTCATTGGGAGGTGACGTTAAGCCGCTGGCCTTGTCTCCTTCATCTTTGTACTTCAGTTGGAAGCGGACGTAAAGAACCGTGACATTGTTCGAAAAGAGTAGGGGACGTAGGCCCAGATGTCATGGTCTATCTGACTTGTGCCGACATCGGTCTGGGTGAGCGTGGAGTGATCAAAACATGGACTGAAGTGGCTGCAAGAGTGTGCTTTTACATGCTGACGTCCGATCTCACCTCTCTGGTTCCTTCGCAACTCAGCCTTTGGCTGCACGTGAGGGAAGTTTGCACCGCAAATATATATATATTTTTTAACTTGGAAGGGCTTCCAATCGATGCCCAGTAACACCCCGAATCAATTTGTCGTTTACACCTTCTTGAGACAATCTCGAAACCGCTGTTGCTCGCAAAGAGTGATGAGTGAAATATCCTTTAATTCCAGCTTTAGCCATCATCATTTTGACCATGGAATTGTAATGAGTTTATTATGACCCAAACGGACTTTAGAAAACCAAACATTCTTACTTTCGTACTTTTGCAATCGCTTTAAGTAAAAAGCATTATATAAAGATACTTTAGGACATCGCTCAATATAAACCTTGACAATTCTTACAACACAAAGTCATCTCTCATGACATTTAACAACTTACAAGTTACAACTTCTCGGGCATAATTTTCTATGTTTTAACCCATCTTGGTTCGTTTTACTTACTCCTTCGGAAGAAACTAAAAATTCTTTGTCCCTCCGCATCAGGGTGAGACGAAAAGCTATTTGCACTCAATTTGCGGTGTTCACCCCCTCATACCGAAATTTAATCCCATCAAATGAAAAGTTGTTCTTAATAAAGTTTCAGGGTTATCGCTTCCCAAAATATTGCTTTTCCACTGGTCGTTTTCAGTTGAAACAGAAATTATATCCACTTGTTTCGGTTTAAACCCAAGTTATTCGGAGCAGAAGTTTTATTTAAACTTCCAGTGATTTTCTTAACTTTTCAAAAAATTCATTGGAGAAAAAATTAACTTTCCCTCCCTTCAATTCAAAATACTTTTGTGATCTACTAATTAATTCGTGCAACGTTTTTCCCGGGCAACGAGTTCCATCTTGTTTTCGAACTTCTCCAATAAATTGACTGAGGACCTCATTTAAATCTTCCTCTGGCTTTGTATCTAGGTCTGAATAGTATACCTCCGACAATAGATGTTTCCTTTCCGGGATTGTACACACCTTTTCCCCACAGCGCCCACCTTTCATACAGACGAAAAGCCCACAGAGCTTTTTCTTTGGTGCTTTTGGTTACAGACTGGACAAAAAGTTCAACCAAATCTTTCTCCGCGCTTATTTCAAGTCGTCCTTCTTTATCCTGGCCGCAGTTCACTGCCAATACAAATAAATCGAGATAAGAATTGAGCGAAAAGCAAAAGAAAGGCATACAAAAAGATGTTCCGAACAGTTACCTTTTGCAGTTTAAAAGCGCCTTCCCATCAGAAAACTAGGCCCGTCAACCTCAGACATGTCGGCAATATCGATAGCGTCGTCTTCAAGACTCTTGCTCAAACATACCAAAACTCTGGGAGAGAATTTCATCGAGTCCGTCGTCTAAAATTACCTCTTCTTTTTCGTATTGATCCACCCCCTGCGACAGCAAATCATCCAAACCATCGTTCATCATCTCTAATAAACGTTTTTCAAAATAACTCGACATATTTGTAGTAAAAGCGAGGTCCACTTAAGCATTATGGAACTCAGCTGCTGAACTGAAAGAAGAGCCTAGAAACACTAAAACCGTTGAGAAACTGGACGGATATTTAATTGTAATTTTAAGGGCTGCAAATCTTAACGGGATTTCATACATTGTCTGTGGACTCTTTAACCAGCAAACCATTCGAGCTATTCTTGGTGCGCTTCACAGCAGGTTTCCTTGACCGGAACAATGTAAGTGCATTTCACAGTCCTCGTTTTTGCATTTTTGATATTTCTTTATTCTGATTTTCCATAATGGAAACTATTTTAATTTGCATTTTTACTGCTTTAGTGTCGACCCACGCTGTTTGTATGACACTGTTTGTACCACGCATTTTATTTCAAGTACCAAGCACGTCGGGTACAATAAATCGTCGTTCGAATTTGTTTTGTGCCGGTGTTGTTATTAAAGGCCAAGAGACTCAGTTTATGCTTATTGTAGTTTCAGTCTTTATACCGTAAAGGCCATGACATTAGAGACCTTACGATCCGACAACGACGACGTCCATGAAAAAGTCACTGAAAAATAGACTTCGCATCCTTTCAAACCATTTCGCGATTTTCCCCAGTTTCCCTGTTACTGAAAAGAAAGGAATTTTTTTATTTCTTAAATTTTAAGGAAGAAGAATTTTTTGCCACCCACAAACCCCAAAAATGATCCGCGACGGATTCCTTCGAGTAAAATTCCTCAGTTTATTACTTGAAGAGTTAATAAGAATCAATAGGGATTTCAGACAAGTGACCCTTATCCATCACTGTGCAAACCTGGAGGTACGTGAAGCGAGGCTTGTTTTTATGAAATTTCTGAAGGACCGTTGAGAAAGGAGATTACATCGGAGATAAGAAACGCGAAGGCCCAGTACTTCAAGGAAACGTTAGCTGAAGTAAAAGTCTGCAGGGGCTTAATGGAACTCAATTGCAGAAGTCTTCTACCCATTCTTCTCCGTTATTGTGTAAATAAGAGGCGGGCAAAGACAGCTGGGAAAACGCGAAAAACTACAGATTTTTAACCAATTCGAATCCGCTCGAGGATATTTTTAAGCTTCCCTGTGGTGACTCAAGGCTATTGTTTAACACATTTCCAAAAGTGGAAATGCTCTGCACTGTACGCATGTTAGAGTCGATTCAAGCCGTGTTTGGGCCACATAATGGCTGAGTTGGAAAAGGACATGATTAATTAATTAATTTTTTTTTCTGACCACATCCACTGTATTTTATTGGCATATTCAAATCTAACAGTGGAATCCTGCCATTTGTCAAAATGTAAGCGTTCATATTGTACCAGAACGCATCTGAGGGTACTTAAATTATCAAAATGTTTCGGTGAGGAACCCCCTACAAAGTCGCCCAACGTATAAACATGCCCCAAATTGCTCCGAAACAGACCACCTCTTAATCAGACAAAATACAAGGCGAATTATATCATATATTTAAATAAATAAACAAATAAAATAACGATTAGGAGGTAGCACATAGTGGTTCTTCGTCTACCTGATTCCTGGTCGAATTGGAAATTGGAAATGTGTGTTCTTGAGGAGAGGGGAAAACCGAAGTACCCGGAGAAAAACCTCTCGGAGCAAAGGAGAGAACCAACAACAAACTTAACCTACATATGGCATCGACGCCGAGATTTGAACCCGGGCCACATTGGTGGGAGGCGAGTGCTCTCACCACTGCGCCTCCCTTGCTCCCCATTCTTTTGAATTTTTGTAATTTTTAACTAAATTCAGTCTAGTACTGCAAGGGTGGGCCAGGGTTAGTAGCCGATCGAATTCAAATCATTGTTTTACATGTGTTAAAAGATATGTGAATTCATTGTAAATAGGTCAATAGCTGAGCAATAGTTACATTACGTTACATTATCTACATTCTTTTGAATTTTTGTAAAGGTGTAACTTAATTCAGTGTAGTATTTCAAGGTCTGAAACTCAATAAACTACCTATCTAAATGGTCCTTCATTACGATATACAACCTGTAGGGGCCTTTTGATTAGTTCCACTTAACAGATATGTCACATGTAATTTACCTGATGGAAAATACGAAGAGGCGCACACAACAAACATCAATAAGGCCCTCATCTTCTTGTTTTAATAAACCCCTGTAATGCGAGAAAAAAAAACAAGCCAGGTTAAACTTAATACAGCCGTTCTGCCAAGAAACAAAAATGGTCAGTAGTTCAGTTTCTGAACTTAAAAACTTAAATAATCTGGGCCATATTATATGTTAAAAACAGGGATAAAGAAACGTTTAACTGGACACAACAGGATATTTTTCAAGGGAAAAATTCAATATATTGATGTAGTTTCCCAAAAAGACAACTGAAAAAACGAAAACAAATATCTAACTGAAGGCGAATGTTTTTGTGCGTAAAACCATGATTCACAGTAATGCTTAAAGACTGAGAGGGTTATCTGGCGTACTCGCTAGTTTCTATTTAACAAGAACGCTCTTAGTAGCGTTGAGTCTCGCTTGCTTGGAGATGAGACCAGATGAGTTTTGTTGTCAAATGCCCCGGTGATGTTATACTGGGCGCTTTCCATTTACTCAAAATTTCCGGAATTTCCGGTTCGGCGGTAAATGGAACACGTTTCGTCGGTTCGTCCCACTGGAAAATTCCCAGAAAAAGTTGAAAATCTAAAAAGGTGGTCCCGTTTTCCCGGTTGGAATTTCCGAACGGAATCTCGTGTTCCATTTACGTTTCTCGTAGTTTGTACCAGTTCCAGGTCTACGGTCGGGCACCGCCACGTACCGGGGTTTAAGACCAAATGGAACAACTTTTTACCAATCGGGAATTCCACTTTTGCTACCACCGAAATTTCCGGGTTTTTTTCCTAAATGGAAAGCGCCCACTACTTTTTCGTTTGGAATACAAAACGAGTGTTGTATGTCATAATGCATATGCTCAAAAAGTAAAACTTGCAGGGAGAGACAGGCCGCACATCTTAGCCTCAAACCGGGGTGAAACCTTTGCAAACCTTCAACATATTGATATTGCTCCATTGAGGAGTACTCTTTCAGGGATTTTACACTCGAAAAATTGAACGATGATTTTTGTCGGTATCAGGGGCCCATGACTCTGTCAGTATAAATATACATAGCTTCTTTGTACCGGACCAAGATACGGCTCGGTACAGTATATGCTCAGCACAGGAAAAAAGTGTAAGTTTAACAGAACCTTATACAACGCACAGTTAATTCAGTTCGCGGGTATTCCTGCTTAATTTGTTGTTCGTTTTATAAGATATCAATATCGCGTGAAAGTAATGACATTTTCCATAGCTGCTTAGTATCTACTTTTAATATCTCCGTACAGTCTCAGAGTACAATGTTTAGAGTTGTACACAGCATGCATTTTAGATAGACAGATAGATAGATAGACAGACAGACAGACAGACAGATAGATAGATAGATAGATAGATAGATAGATAGATAGATAGATAGATAGATAGATAGGTAGGTAGGTAGGTAGGTAGGTAGGTAGATAGATAGATAGATAGATAGATAGATAGATAGATAGATAGATAGATAGATAGATAGATAAATAGATAGATAGATAGGTAGGTAGGTGGGTAGGTAACAACCTTAATTTACGGTTACGATGAAAAGGATCAGCATTGCTGGTGGGGTCGTGCATACAACAATTACAAGAAAAATAAGGAGTACTGAAAGCAAATGTACACTTAAAAATTCAAAACTGTTAAAGTTTTTTCTTGTATTACAGCATCACTGGGATAAAGTGTTTCATTTTCCCGGAAAATTTCACTCTCTCGTCAAAACAATCACTGACTCCGACAGACTCGGATTAGTTTACTTGAATTTAGTGTTCAGTACAGCGAACGGGGTTATGTTCTGTGAAATTTATCCACAGTCTGCCTCCCACATCACCACTGATCCACGATTTATTTATTTATTTTATTTTCAAGTTCTTTTTAACCGATCCTCGATCCCTGATTTGTCGATCCTCGATCCTCGATCCTGATTTTCCAGTAAACCTTGAAGTTTTGCTCATTAAGATTATTCTTTTTTTTTTTCGACCACTGAAGTGATCAGTTGTTCCAAAATAATCAACACTTTCAAGCCATAGAATTCTTGGACCAACCCGTTCCGGAAAAGCTCGATATGGGATTTCTATTCTATGGACATGAAGTGCTGCAAGTAGAGTGTGCGGTTAGTCAAGTTCAAAGTTACCCGTATAAGCACATCCGTGACACGTTAGGGTGGATTTCCACTGATGCGTTTTTGGCTTCGCACGTTAACGCACGTAGAATTTTAATCACGTAAATCAAATAGAGGTAAGACATAAAGTATTGAGATTAAACGTCAAATTAAGCGAGTTTGTACTTTTACGGTTACATAATTGTACGTGCGGCCTTTCATACATGGCCTTTATTTTATTTGCGAACGCAAATTTTACGCACGAGCGCACGTAAAAATTACGTGACAGAGGATACTTGATATCTCAAGTATTTATGAAGTGCAACACGACTTCACATCTTAACAACTGCGAAAATCTATCAATTGAATACATAAAACAAAGTGAATCTATTCAACCGTATATTTCCTGTAATTGCGACAATATTCTGAGAAACGTAACGCCTTAAAGAGCCACAAAATCCTGAAGATTTCCCCGCTATAATATTTTCTCATCCTGCTTGAGGATATTTCCTTTTTAAAGTGCCTGCATGTCGTGCATAATTACACGAAAATCAAGGGCCTCAATTCGAGGAAAATTACATCATTGCCAAACTTACATGCGTCATTTCAGTCATCGCCGAAAAAAAAGCGCATTCTCATCACGACACTCATTTCCATATAATGAAAGTCGTCACGATTGTTATCCCCAGTTTCCACGGTCTTCGCTAGGAACGCGGGGCCTACAAACTAGGTCCCACCGACAAAAGAAAAAAACGACTGCATTTTAAGAGTCTCGCTCTGCTTAAGCAAGCTCCACTAAAAATGACAATCACACATTTCGGCCCCTAAAATTTAAGCTAACGCATAGATTTTACTAATCGAAAGCATTCCTGTTTAGGAAGTCCATGCAAATTAAAAAAAAACAAATATTACAACAGAAACACTGCGACAATAAGAAAGTAAAAGACAATTAAAATACATAACAACTCCAGTCTCGCTCTCTGTTTTCAGCTTCGTTCCAGACCTTTCGTTTGACTGCTCGCGCGTACTTGAATACGCAAAAATACGGACTGTTTCGCAGTCTATTTAGATATCGGCATATGTTTAAAACTGCATTTTACAAAAAACGTCAATAGTTTCGAAACAATAAGACAGATTTTTCTCTAGCTTCAGCAAATAACCCTCAGAGCTCTGTAGTTCAATATCTGCAAGTTTGAAGTCAAATTTAACCTTCAAATGCAAAGTTAGCACATTTGTGAAAGTTGACACACAAATAGAGGAAAACTGCCGACGGACTATCTTTTGTCTGCCGGATATTCTTGCGCAAAGCTTTAGTTGCAAGAAGCTGGGTAGTAATCAGAAACCTACGGCGAATACAGTGCGCAATGCAGGAAGAACAACTTTATGCTGAATGCGGGCAAGATGAACGAACATCTGTTTTTCAAAGTTACTATGTATTTGCCCCCCCCCCGGGGGGGCACTGCCATTTATGGGCTATATAGGTATGTGCCGCTGTGAAGGGTATGGTTTTCAAGCAGTTTACTCTAGGATAGGGTATATAAATCAGAGCGTTTGGGTCTAGAACAGGGTATCATTTCTTAGGAAACTGATCGGTTGGTTGAAGATTTTATCTAGACTAGGGATTGTGGTATAAGGTTTTGTTTTGGCAAGACTGTGCTAGTGACCTCAGTAGTTTCTGGAAAACACCTACTCTAGGATAGGGGGAATTTGGGGAGTTTACTCTAGTATAGGGTAGCAAAATTCAGCTGAACTAGCTCTGGTATAGGTTAAGGGTTCTAGGGTCCCAGCGGCACATCCCCGCCCAGAAATTCCTAAATTCCCCCCCCCCGGATTTCAACAAAGCAAGTTAGCATCTACGGAAAGTTCCTACCAGTTTTTAGCACCGAAGGTTCCCGTCTTGAGGAGAAATAAAGCGACCAACTCCAGTACTTCAACCGATCCATTTTCAGCTTCAACGAAAACCCTTGTATTATGTAATTTATTCAAGCTTGTAAGATTTGCCATCACATTCGCCCAGGCAGTTTGCCGCAGGGGATAATGAAAAGAATAAGACGATTGTCATATTTCTTTTATATTTTCCTCATCTTTATCCCCGAGCGGCAAACTTCCTGTGTGCGATTGTGATGTCAAGTCTAAAAGGCTTGAATAGACTACCAAGTATAAGGGCTTTCAGTGCAGCTGAAAAATGGACGGTTAGAAGTACTGGAGTTGGTGGCTTTATTTCTCCTCAAAACGGAAACCTGCGACGCTAAAACGTCTTGAGAGTTTTTCGTAGATGCTATATTTTTCCTTGTTAAGATAGGTTTTCGAAGAGAGAGGGACAGATACAAAGTAAGTTTGATGAATGGAAGTTTTTTTTATCTTGCCCCACATTCCACACAAAGTTGTTCTTCTTGTATTGCGAACTGTATTCGCTGTAGGTTTCTGATTACCCAGTTTCTTTTAACTGAAGCTTTGGGCAAGAGTAGTTTACCCTTGCAGATAGGAGATAGTCCGTCGGCAGCTTTCCTCTATTTTGCGTCAACTTTCATAAATGTGTTAGCGTTGCATTTTAAGGTTAAATTTGACCAGCTATGTGTGCAGCGAGGTCTACGGTCACGATTGACTTCAAACTTGCAGTTATTGAACTAAAGAGCTCTGAGGCTTATTTGCTGAAGTTAGAGAAATATCTGTCTTAGGGTTTCGAAGTTATTGACATTTTTGTCAAAATGTGGTTTTAAACATAAGCCGATATCTCAAATGTTTTTATACCTACAAGAAAATAATTAACAGCTTCTTAAAGTTCGACCATTCTTTATTAAGGATGCCAAAAATCATAGACATCGGTCGAATCTTTCCTGCTGAAAAACGTGAATTAAAAACATAACCAACGCTCAAATAAATAGGTTCGGGCCACCTTAAATAACCGACCCAGTAATTGATCGATAAAATCGATACCA